AGATGTGCCTCGTAGGTTACAGCAATTGGCTGCCAAGCACAAGGTTGTCCTTTGTATAAGGCAGAAGTATATAAGGTATAAGCCCTTCATGGCTGAGGTGAAAGATTATGCGTGCCACCGTGCTGGAGTGCCGACCTCAAATAGCGGGAGTGCTGCATCCTCAGCCAGTAATTCCGAGGGTAAGAAGGCGCGGGTTCTAAAGCGAGAGCCATACCAGTCAAAGAGGTGTGGTTGTGGGTTCCGTATTCGGGCAATTGTGCCAATAGCTAATTATAATGAAAAAGACAAGACTTTTGTGTACTTGGAAGAGGGCACTGCAGTGTTCAAGCTTTACGCTGTGCACTCAGGGCATGAGCCAGGGCCACTTGATGGCAATGCACGAATTGTTCACAGGTTGGTTGGTCATAAGGGCGCTCTTGAGTTTGATCCAGACATTTATGGTGTCAGTGAGGAAGGTGATCCTACCTTTTCAGCAAAGGGGGATGAAGATGTTGATATTGATGACTCGCACCAGGCGGTCTTGCGGCAAGTACGGGAGCTGAGATCAGAAGTTCTCTTGCTAGAAGGGAAGGTGGCTAAGATGCACCCAGAATTGTTGGGGTCACTGTCCACCGAGTTGTCTGAGGTTTTGCACAGGATTAGGAAGTTTAATTTGGAGGGTAATGTCTACCAACAGGAGACATTGATGGTAGGCAATGAAGAAGTCAGGGGATGGGGGTCAGGGGATGTATCTCACCAATTAGACCAGCATGATCAAGCATTCTGCAAGGATGATGAGATGCTTGATGATGATGATACTGACTTTGGCTCAAGCCTAGGACCTATTGTCTCGTGGGATAGGATGGCAGCAGAGTGCGAGGATAGGAAGATGCTCATGGGTGATAGCCCAAAGTGTGACAAGTGGATGCTTAAGGATGATGTGGGTGACTTTGATGCGAAGAGTATTCTTAACTGTGGGGATGATGATGGTGTGGAGGATTCCAAGGTCATCAAGCCATTGATGCATGATGACACCATGGTAACTGACCCAAGTTTGGTAGGTATTCATGTAGAGGGATTTTACACTGGACCAAAATGGTATGATTCACCAGGTTTGGATTCCAGTGTTGATGGTGGGGATAGCAGTTTTAGGCATGGTGGAATCGTGTGAGTTGTGATAACCTGATACCTGGAAGATCCTGTAAATTCTGTATACTAGATGTATTTAGCTCACACCAGTTTGATGAAGTGTCTTTAGGTGGAGCTTCAGTCAAAGTAACCTGTCTGCCCTGATATATACAAGCTGCATTATCAAAGCAACTTTTGTTTTAACTTGTATATAGTCCCTGTATTGGTTATCTGCTTGCTTCAATACATTAAAGCTATGGTTCTGTTGGGGCGTGCCTTAATATTTTGTGGAGTTACTCTCTGTGTGTGGACCTGCGTGCGAGTTTATCCACAGTTTAGTCACAAATATATGTTAGTTTCCTCATTCCTTCACAAGGCTGCATTAGTCTCGTTCTCACTTTGTTGCATCTGTTTTAAGAAGTGTCTATGCTTAATTATACATTTTCGGACCTGTTCTTCTTGGGTACAATGATTTAGAAACTTGTGTGTTTTTATTTATCTCTACCCTCTGAATTTAAAAAAAAAATTATATATGAGGGAAATGATATGGTATTTTCTGTTGTGCATCTGCAGACATTTGTAGCTTAATGATTCATCCATAAATAGATATTGCTTCCTTCTGTGCCAATTGTTATTGACTGGTTGGTTTGCGCCATGACAATAATGCTTCCCATGTTGGGGTTACATGAAACATGATATCCTAGGAAGTGCAAAGTTAGTGTTTTGAATACATTATAAAGATTTCATGTTCCTTTATCCAAGCCCCAGGACCTCTCCATGTCACATATAGTACTGCTCCTCTGTTCCAAATTGTAGGTTGTTTTAATATTGTCCTAAACTTTTCTAACTTTGACCATGTTTATAGAAAAATATGTTAACATCTGCAATACCAAATAAAAGCACTATCAAAATGTATTTCATGGTGAATTAAACAAAACTAACTTGAGGTTATAGAAGTTGGTGCATTTTTCTATAAATTTGGTCAAAGTTAAGGAAGTTTAACTTATTATACTACCAAACTAAATGACTTACAGTTCGGAACAGAAGGTTACTGTCTTTACAAGGTTTATTGTAAGTTACAGTCAACAGTGTTGTTCATACTCATTTTTTATGGAATGAGTCTGTGCTCATTAAAGCAAACAAGAGTGACATATGCTTCAGTAAAATTTACACTTTTCTTGTTTCTGTATTTAGTTCATTGTGTTGCTCTCTGATCAATGTTTCAGCTGAGATTTTCTAGCAATTTCGACTTTGGATAAATGTTTCAATGTTTGCAGTTTAAGTTATTCCCTCCATTCCAAATTATAAGACGTTTTGGTTTTTCTAGATACATAACTTTTGCTATGCACTTAGATATACACTATGTCTAGATACATAGTTAAAGCCATGAATCTAGAAAAGACAAAACGTCTTATAATTTGGAATGAAGGGAGTACATTGGATATTTCACTCTAAAAATCTCAAGTGGGATTGAGACCCACATGTAAGTTGTGGGCCTAGGGCATGTTTCTAGACTGTGTTTATAATGACATTTTTCCAATTGTCACTTAATTTTCTGTTTTGAAATGTGATGGTATAACAAAAGATACGTAAATGTTTGATTCAGAACCTTGGAGAATTAACAATAGAGCAAATTTCACCAATTAACTTGCATGTTTTTAACCTACAAACTGGGAGACTTAAAGGAATGGCAATCTGCATAACTTTTGTATTTTCTGCTGTTCAAGGTTATTTCATTCTGTATTTCCTAAAGTAGAAGTTTTTATCTTGGCAAGCATATACACAGTACATTGAAGAGGATGACTTCGTCCCCCCCACAAAAAAAAAAAAAAAGAAGAAGAAGAGGATGACTTCATTTCCTTAGTCTGATTGCATTACACCATTTCCTTTGCTACTACATGTTTATTGTTGCTGGTGAATTTACAATATTAATGAACTATAAGTAACCAACCATTTTTCATGACCTTCGGCATATAGGTTCATCAGCAATGCTTGCGATGTGCAGCCTTTCAGCAAGGTTATTGTCAAGCACTGACATCAGATGTTATACCACCAGTTCAAGGTTAGGAGAACCCAGATTCGGTCTTCTCTTTACATTTGATATATCATTATTCAGGGGCTATATTGTTAAGTTAGCAGGTTTGTAACTAGTGTTCATGCTTTGCGTGTGCCAAATTTCAGCTAAAAAGCAAGCAAACCAAGGCTAACAGTGGAACTAGTGTTGTCTGGTTAAACAGCCAAGTATGATATAGTCTCGTGATCCCTGCAATTCCTTTTTTTAAAAAAAAAAATATTGTAGGATTCAACTAGATCTATGATTTTCAGGGAGGAAATTCATAACCATACTTTACATTCATTCCTGAACTGATTGAAGCACTCTGTTGAGGAGAGCCAAGATTAAGATGCTAAATATATCTGGAGGCATGAGTTGACATGTCTGAAATTAAGTGAGAAAGGGACTAAAGTTTTTTTTCCTGCATTTTTGTGATCTAGTCCCCTTTTCAAGATTATACAACAAGCCCAACTTATGAGACTTTTGATGGAAACTCCTTCCGAATTTGCATAAGTTGCATACACATTGAGGATTTTGTTGGATAGCAGTTGATTAAAAAAAACAGCACTGGCTCGAATGTAATCAGGGGTCAGGATCGCATTCTATTCTTAGCTACTTACGCAGTACTCTAATCTTTTAGTTTATGAGATTGCTGCCATCCATTGGTTACTCTGACCTGACTGGGTCTAGTCGCTCATGTTCAGTCTGAGGAATGGGCTGTTCGTCTGATACAAATTTCTTAGGGTTGATCACGACAGTGAAATATTGGCTTATTTCATGGAGTAGTAGGTACTGTACTTAATGTTTAGTGAGGATGCCTAATATGTTCTGTGGGATGATGAATATCCAAATAACTGTGCTGAAGCTGTTTTTTTCCCCAGCTTGTCAGCAGTGGAGATATGGTGAGTTTTTCCCCTGCTTGTCAGCAGTGGAGATATGGTGATTTGGTCATTGATCTTTGCGGTCAGGGTCTTATAAAGCTGAAGTGATTTAAGGAATGGGCAGATTTCTGTTCCTTTTGCTTCCAAGTCTCCTGTGTTGTAGTGGTATAATAAGATTGCAAAGGACACCTGTTCAATCATTGCAGTCGATCACCCAATTTTCCTGTTAGGGCTGGGAAGTAATTTAAATAATCAGCAAATTCACATTTGGATGAGGGCTGGAACACTTGAACTTGTCATAAGTCGGCGGCAGCATGTCTTCAGTTTATTAACTCTGGGAAGTTGTGGTTGTGACTATACATTTAACTTCTGTTTTTTTGGTAACATTTAGTGCATAGGCTCATAAAGCACATGGTAGTCTGCATACAGCTGACCCTGACGCCGACCATGCAAGTGGTGCCCGAAGATATCTTTTGTTGGATGCAAGATGCATCTTCTAGTTCTGAAATCCATGTGATGGCCTATGTAAAATATGTCAATGCAGCAAGTGTGCTATATGATACTTGTGATAAGTGCGAAACTAAAGTTTATGAGAGGAGCCCATGTTAGCTACTTCCTCGATAAAAAAAATAATGCAATTCTCGTGTTTCAATGAGTCAATAGGTTTCAGGTTTGACCAAATCTTTAAAAAATAACGACATGTGTGATACCAAATATGTATCATTAAACTAATCACGCAATATATTTTTTACAGTGTATCTATTTGGAGTCATAAATGTTAATAATATTTTCTATAAACTTGGTCAAACATAAGTTTGGCTCAATCTAAACCTATAATTGCATCCTTTTGTGACGGAGGTAGAGTTTGGAGTATGAGCCAGTTCTATATATATGTTACAGGAGGCTGAAGTGAAGGGGAACTTTCCTGGAAAGACGATCAAGCGGCTTGTATGGCCACCATGGCAGCTAAATCAAGAGCCATCCCCATCGTGTTCCTGGTCTTTTGTGTTGTCTTTGCAGCTGCAGTTGACAGCGACGAGGTGCCTGCGTCGTTCGATGTGCTGCTGCAGCTGCAGCCTGAGAAAGCTGCCAGGCTACGACTGCTTCACTCTTTGCACAGCCGTATGCTTTGCAGCGGGGTTCCCTGGAGATTACTGTGATGTTGTTTGCGAGCGTGAATGTGCTGATGAAGCCCAGAAGCACTGAAGCCTGGTATGGCCTTGATCATCAGATGGTTTCTCTTTGGTCTAACACTGCAGGCCACTAGCCTGGTAGCACTGTAGCAGTATCTGTGTGACTGTGTCTTCCTTTTCCTCATGATTGTACTTGGGTCTTTGCCAGTTGTGATGTTGTGCACGGTACACCGATAGAAATGTAGGAGAATAAGAGGTGATCAAGGTCCGCAGCAGATTATGATTACCTTTGGTTGCCAGTGTTGTCATCGACCACTTCTTTCTCTATGATATTCCCTTTTTGGTGAAGTGATGAGCCTGTTCTGTTTCCGCTGAAGTCTATGATTTGCCATACCATTGAAGATCTCTGATGTTTGATTCAATGTTGCTCCGCTATGAGCTCAAATCTGCATGTGTAAACTAATTACCAACACATTGTTCATCTTCTTGTATGGTCTGGAACGAGCTAGTTGCCATAAAAATCATGGCCAGAAACTGTGAAAGTGGTGATGGCACAAAAATCATCAGAACTGCAGAACCTGGTGGGTGAGTGATGTTTTGTGTATTCATTGATGTAAACATATGACGAGTATTCTTTTCTTTTGCGAAATGTTTGAATTGCCATGGTGAAGCATTTCTGCTTGTCAGCAGTGGAGGAATATGGTGATCCGGTCATTCATGTTTGCTGTTCATCGAAGGGCCTTGCAAAGCTGAACAGGTGAGAGGGATCGGCCGGCAGGCTGCTGTTCCTTTTGCTTCAAGTTAATTATTGATGGCAATGCTAGATAGCTGCATTAGCTGGCCCAGTGTTCCTGTTTTGACTGGACACTGACTTGAATAGTTCAGTTGCCTCTGAATCGGTTAACAAGTCACGTTTGGATGAGGGCTGAGCTTATCATTTGTCGGCAGCTTGTGCCAGTTGTGACCATCCATTCATTTAAACTGATTTCAGCTTTCAGATTAAGAAATGAGTGCGTGGACTTCAGTAAGCATACCGTAACAGTAACATGCATACCAGTTGAATGTATTGTACAGAAACTATATATGCAAGTGGTGTCAAAATGTAACATTTAAAGAATACATCCTCTAGCACACAAATACATGCGTCAATCAACGTAAAAGGGCACAAGTGTGCTATAGATATTTCTGGTGGTCACGGGCTCACGGCGGTAACATGGCCATGGACCCACGGAACCATAGCCATGTTACCTGTATTGCCTATTGCTATGTAGTATGGGCGCGTTTGACATACATCTTTGATATTATATAGGTGGAGAGGCGTAGGTATTAAAAACGACTATACTATCACAATGGGATTTGTATCTTATCATGTCTGGTGATAGTATATGGCCGGTGATCTCCCCAAAGTTCTATCACTGCAGCGAGAGTCGGATACAAGTGAAAGCGCGACTCCTACTGCCACCATGATCGCCGAATCATGGGTCACTGCAGTCCTGTACTCTTGTCTCAGGTTATACAAGAGCTGTTTGGTTACGTTCCTTGACACGGATTGACTGGCTTGAGGAGTTTCTGGATGCAGCTGGTAGCCCTGGTTTCTTGCCTAGCCTAGTCCAGGCAGTCCAGATATACAAAAACGGTTGAGGCTCGCAGGCAACGTTGTATGGTGAGATTCCTTTACAACTGATATGGATCAAAATTTGTCAGATATCTACTGCAAACCAAACAACATAGATGTGGTGTACCCTGAAAAGCATAACTCAATGAGTTAACAAGCAACATCCAGACAGTCTTTTTTCCCAGCTAGCAACTCCAGGGTTATATAAAAAAAAACCTGTGTGTTGTTTAATTGCTTTCGCAGCTAACTGTGACGAGCTTCCGCTTCTTGTAGCGTCCTGCTACCATTGTTTCGCTCGGTTTTCTGGTTGTGCCTGGAGGTTACTGTTGGAAGCATTGCGACCAACAATGCCCTTCAGTGCTGAAGTTGCCTCAGGCGCTGTCCATCAGATGGAGTCTCTCTATTCATCTTTCCATTTTGAAGGACCGAATGGCGGACAGAAAAGAGGTGAATAAGATCTTAATTCTTTTTCTCTTCTCAAGAACGAGAGACGATCACTTCTGAAGAAGAGTAAGGATCACTTCCAGGAAGTACGTTCTCAAAATAAGGAAGTTCACCAAACCAGCTTAGCTGGTTTTGGTTCAGCCCGTTGTTCTCTGAAGAAAAATATGAAACCACAATCAAAGGAATTCTAAAATTCATGAAATTTTATCAAGAGATTCATAACATCATAGACAACAACTCCAACAAATATATTTTCAATCGGTGGAAACCAGCTTGGTTGAGCTTCTTTTCCCCAAAAAACTCCAAAATCGATCCAAATAAGTTCAAAAATATTACGAAACTTGTCCCACACCTTGACTAACTCGTTGTGAAGATAATCCCAAAGAATCTTTCAAAAAATATTAAAGCTTCACCACAAATTTCTATCAAACCGGAGTTTTCTTGTAAAACTCGAAAGAGACAATTCAACGTGCTCGTAGAAAATCAGTTGAAGGGCAAAGCTTAGATATATTCCGTTGAGATCATAGCACCAAGGTTGAGCACAAGAATCAATCGAAGATGTCCTGCTCAAAGATTTTTCACCAACATAAGATCTTGGAGAAGAGGAGGGAGTTTGATACGGGGGTTTATCCCATCGTGTACCCATGTCCAAAGGCCCCAAAAATCACCTCAGGATCACCCAAGAAATCAGATCAATTGCAATTCTAAGAATCACCAAGCAAAGATAAAAGAAAGCACAAAAAACAAACCAACAGATTCAAAGAGAGGGACACAAGAAATTAATTTAACAAGATTTTCTTCACTTCAAATCAACAATAAATTAATCTATATTACATCATATTATCCTACCTCCCAACATCCTCTCACTTTGGTGAGAAACAAACCTAATAGAAAATCAAACATCGCTAAATTCATTTATATATCAAATTAGCTCACCTAAGAGGAAATCAAATAACTCGAGCTTAACTCCTCTAATTTTTAGAGCACTTAGCTAACCCTAGAAAATGAACAAGTGGTGGAAAGATCCCTCCTCTTATTTATAGAGGGTATTACACATTTCAAGAATACCAAATTTAGGATCAAGTTGGTTGGATGCCATAACTGGCTACAACTAAAGCGCAGCTTGCTCAACCTATGATAGGTTGCGGCACTAAAATCATGCGTCAATCTTTTGGCAAGGAGTACGTGTGCACACCTAATTCTGTCAGCAACCAAGCACATCGTTCGACATGAACCATTTAGCCACCAAAGACAAAATGGTTCTAGTTGGTTTTCCATGCATCAGACGGCTATGGGACCTTTATGAAGTCGTTTCACCTCGATGCTAGTTCTCCGGTGATGCTACATCCCTGAGATCCTCCCTTGGGTTTTGAGGCCCAAACCTAGAAACCATTGAGCTCGCGATTTTGGGGTTGAAATTGTCAAACTCTCCAGTGCACCATAGTCGGTACACAACCCCTCATATGTCTACACGTGTCCTCCATGTCCTCAGCCCGGCGGTCCGCCTAGTGCTTGTGACACCTCGTCATAATTTTGTCCAATCCCGGCCTTGGCTTAGGACAACACCGTCTTTGTCACCATCTCGCATGTGTTTTTGCTCATTGATGTGCCAAGTGCTTGCCATCTTTGGTCCGTCCTCCGGTCTCTTGTTCCCTTGGTCCAAGACTCTGTGTTCGGTTTTGACAGCTCTGGTTCATCAACCCATGCCCCTCGCTTGACCTTTTCCAATACCGCCGACCAATGTATTTAACACCCGCACATCCACGAGCCAACAAACATGTTGCACAACACAGACTAACTCATCATCTTGGTTAGTCCAAATCACGGTAGAACGAAATCAATCAAAGCTCGATCATCTCACCTTGATAACCACATATTATCTATGACATAAGCACATATCCACCATTTCTTCTCATATTTGTGCTGCGATAACGTTGTGTCCCAGTTGCAGCAGTACCTCTTGCATGTGTGCAGCCAAATAGAAAGTGACCAAGGTCTGCACTGGTATGAAATGCCCTAAACTCCACTTACAGTATCTACATTGACAATCTAAAAGCTGTACCGTTTGTTGTACAAGCTCCTTCAGCTTGCAGCAATTAGAGCTAAGTGAATCAGTAGTTCTAAATACTCACTCCTCAAGTTCTCGTTTAAAAGTTGCAACTCTCCTCTTAGCGTTGCCTCAAGTTCTCGTTGAATTGTGATTAACTTCTGAATTGTGGTTAACCTTTGAAACAGAGTTGAAGTTAAATTTCTTCACTTGAAGGCTAGAAGTTGAATTGTGGTTTACTTCTGAATTAAAATTTTGCTTGATCCGAACTGCCCAAACAAAAATGTGTTGGGGATCAGAAGATTTAAGAGAACACTGTACGCTCCTTGGCGCCAGTTTGAAGATCCACAGCATCGCATGCTCTTGTCGATCATCTGCATCACTGCATGGCTGCAAGGCGCTGGAAGGGGCTCTGCTAGTCTGCTAGCGCCGACGCGCGGCACCGTTTTGATCTGACGAATACCCCGGGCGTCCGCATGAGCTGCATGTAATGCTAATGCATCGTCCGCCGCGTCACTCTCGGGGTCCCGGCGCGCCGGACCTGTGCGGCCGTGCCGTGCGTTCTGCGACGGGGAATATATGGTCCTGGTGCGTGATGCGTGCTATCAAAGTCTCACCTGGAGTAGCTCTTTGGCGGTAGTATGTTTAAGCACTGCTTAATCTTGTTTCGAAATGACGCGCTCGATCGTCATGTGTCTGTTGAAAATTATGGGTGGTTTCACACTTTCACGTCTGAAGGTTGATGTGCCGGCGACCCGGCGTATGAACTGTTGTGCTGGATAAGCCTGAGATGAGATGTCTGTTGTCTCCGAGTTGGGCCATGCATTCGACAACCTGTTTCCTGATAACGAGGCTGGACTGCAGAGCTAATGAGCAGTATATATAGCTTGATGTGCCGGCGTATGAACTGTTGTGTTGTGC